AGTACTTTGACTGACCTTGAGAAAAAATGCCTAGTAAATTGCTCCCAGACACCACATAACTTGGATTACTTACAAATCTTGCTTTCTCCTTTGTAAAATAATTATCTAGAAAAACAAACAGACAAACAAGCACTTACATCTTTTAAGTCTATATCTGAATCTTCAGGAAAATCTGGATGAGCATCTCCAGAGCCATCCTGGGGAACAATTCCCCAGTCTTCTCCTTCCTTCAGCTCTCCACATTCTGCAATAACACACAACTGGGAAAAAAAAGTTCTCTGAAATTCTGTAAAAACGCTCTGTCATCTGCTGTTTGGGCGCAGTGATTTCAGAGGCCACTAAGGTCTTCTACTGCCTTCAAGCACCAGCATCCAACCACACCAGACCCACTTCCTACAGAGCTGCAAGAGGAACCAGCAGTAGAGATACAGCAAGTGAGGACTGCACAGCCGTCATACTAGAGGTGACAAGTCTTTTCAAGTAACAGGTACATTTTCCCAACAGTGACAAGCAGACATGAACTGCACTCTGGTTGCTTTATCAGACTTACAACAGTTTCTGACATAAAACTGAAAAAAATCCACTGTTTCATTTTTCTAAAACACCTCAGAAAACCAGTAAGCACTTTAATAGCTTTTAATCACAAAATCACTTTTTTCCCTTCTCAATACCTCTGACAAAAATGTTTCAGATCGGAGAAATCTACAATCCTGTAAATTTGTAGCCTTAATAAGTGACAAACAAGACCTGCAAAGTGTTTACAATTGGAGAGAATGAAAGGCTATGGCTCAATACTTCCCCAAAACAACTTGCTAAAAACAATGCCTTTAGCATTCTTCTCTAGTAAACGGAAAATAATTTTTAATCCTCCTGAAAAGGAGGTCAAAGCAATTCACAGTTTTCAGTCGAGACATCAGCTAATGGAAATAAAACCAGGCTTCCTAGGCAGCGGGATATGACTTACCTTAGCAGGCTTTTCTCCGTTTACTTCTACGTTCTCTAACACTTTAAGGACGCCCATTCCCTTGATCACTTGGCCGAACACCACGTGCTTCCCATCCAGGTGAGGAGTAGGCACCGTTGTAATAAAGAACTGAGAGCCGTTGGTCCCAGGTCCTGCGTTCGCCATGCTCAGCAGCCCTGGCTTATCGTGCTGCGTAACAAGAAAATCACAGCCAAGATGTACAAAATCATACAGCTATTACCATGTATCACAATGAAAACTTAAACAACAACTTCGGAGATGTTGCACACAGATTTACTAGTGCTGATTTTAACATGTTACTTGTACCCAACATGAGTGCACGTGGCAAATGCCAGTTTTGCGTCTGTACTTGCCACCTCCTTGGGGGTGGCCTGACCCTGCAGCACTTCTTCCTTACTCCTTGTGCAGCCTACAGACTGAATTCAGAGCTGCTGAATTTAGAGGCCATCTGAGAGGTAAGTGCTGCTCCTGAATGGGTCATTCAAAATCACTGGCTTCACCAAGAAATAAAACCAAACGCCACTTAAACCAACTTCATGTGATGCTGTCAAGAGCAGTACGCATCTGTAATGTGCCGTTTGTCAAAATAATTTCCCTACTTCAGGCAGAACTGAAATATTGTTTCAAATGAATTTCTAATGGGGCAATTAAAAAGATTCAAATTATTGCTAGCTTTGACATGTTTTCTTTAAGTAACAGAGACTTTAAGGACAAACTAGTTTAGCTTTTTTCATTGCATTCCCTTTCTACTGCTTAAAACACATACATTCTGTGGGCTGAAGAGCACTGGGATTCCATTCAAATAAAAATCACTAAAACTTCAAAAACTAAACTCAAGCTCTATTTTCACTGGAATACCTTATAATGAAAGTTTTCATCTTCAAATTTTTCACCGTATATACTTTCTCCTCCTGTGCCATTTTGATTTGAGAAATCTCCTCCCTGGACCATGAATTGCTTAATAACTGTAAAAGAAGATAATGATTAAATCTCGTGCTCCTGGATTTTATTTAATATTATTTCAAATACCAATTTAAGATTTCCATTGTCAACTGTGTAACAGAGGATTTCCTAGAGCTTACTTCTATGGAAAGGGCATCCTTTGTAATGGAGGGGTTTTCCGGTGGTGGGCCCCGTTCCCTTCTCGCCTGTACATAACGCACGGAAGTTTTCAGCAGTTTTAGGTACGATGTCTGCAAACAATTCAAAGACAATCCGGCCAACTGAAATGACAAACAGAGGGTGAGACGTTTTAAGGCTTCTCCTAGGCACAATCGTGTGTTGAGCACTGTAGGGCAAAGGCATTTTTATTAAGACTGTTATTAAGATCATTAAGATTATTGCTTCTGGGGATTGTTTCATGGCAAGCACCAGCGAAGCTCTACTTAAGCTTTTAACAAAGATAATACCAGCCATGAATTGCACTACTAAGAATATCAAAAATAGATATCATATCTGCACACAACTTATACTCTCTGGAGCTAGAAAATACAGACTCATAAAACTGATGATATTAAAGTCTGCAATTTTTAGACACAAGGCAAAGGTTTCACACATATGCACACACAAAGAAGCATCATGGTAACTCTCATCTGAGGCTAAATGTGCATTATCAATCTAACTGCTCATTCTCTAGAACACTAGTTTTAGTTACTAGTTACTAGAGGGTAACAGTAATGCTTAATATGTGTATGAATAATGGCTGTTATGGATGCAAGAAAGAAATCATTAAATCCAAAAACATGCATGTTTTACCTAATGTAATCGAAAACTAATTAGATAACAGAGCCCCATAATTGATAATCGAGTTCTATAATTTTTTTTAATAAATTGGCATGTCAGGTTTCTTGCTCTTGGCAGCTGCCATCAGCAACGCCACAGTCTTCTCATCAGCCTAACATCAGTCAACTAGTTAACATAATTTCATTCATTCTAACGGCAGCCACATGTAAACAAATTAATTCTAATTAATACAGGAACGAAAGCAAATTACAACCACTGGCAGTCAATAAGGCATTTCTGAACCATCAAACAGCGCTCCTGACTTTCTCCCAAGCAGCAGGGTGAATGGACCGGGCGCAGCGCTCCGGCAGACGGGACCTTGCATCCCAACCTGCGCTGTTTGGGAAGCCCAAGCTTGTGGATGGGGCT